TATTATTATTATTATTACAATATTCCCGTCATTTCAGTCAATAAATTATTCAGTGAATATGGGTTGCCTTAAAAGAATAATTATCACACTTCCCTTTTAAAGACATAAAGGAAGGCAGAGATACTTCATTTCTTTGTTTTGTTACTCACATACTGTACAGTTGGTTGTTGTGTATTTGTAATGCCATAACAGACTCATTTAGTTTGGATGCTTTATATTGGATGCTGGTGTTCATTAAAGGCAACATTTGCAATATTGGAAAGTAAATCAACTCAAGTTATGTGCTTAAGTGCAGTTTAGAGGTTCTTTGTACTTAACTTGAGTATTTCCATATGTACTTTATTCTTATACTCAACTACATTTCAGAGGGAAATATTGTATTTTTAACTACATATATTTGACAACACTAGTTAAGCATAATGGAACTCCTTATCATGTCTATGTCTATGAGTTATTAGCAGTTCCACCAAAGAGATTTACCCTCTAAACTTCTCAAATGGTTTAAATAATATAAATAACTGTTCAAGACTCAAAAAGGTCAAATTATCCAACAACACACACACACACACACACACACACACACACACACACAGACCAAAAAATCAATACAGATTGGGTAAAACAACTTTTTTCTTCTACTTCTCCCATTAATCATCCCAGGAGCCCTCAGATTTATCTTGTGACCCTTTAGGATAGGCCTGATTCTGAGTCTGCAACCACTAGACGAAACTACCTAACAGTAAAAAAAAGTCGTTAAAGCCAGAGACCATCTTGTGTTTCAAGGCAGAAATAGGCCTAATTAATGCATATGTCATGCATTGAAGCAGTCATAGACCTATATTACTGATGTATGAGTATTGAGTAACACCCCCCACTGCCATATTTTCATGCATGATGAATACGCACACATATATTTACACATTTATGTACTAATGAAACAGTAGTGAACAACAAATATTAAATCCACAACTAAAACACATTCTGCCACACTTCTAAATCAACCTCATCACAAGTCAGCACTCAGGAGTTAAATATATCATACACACAGACACAATTCAGGCATTTATTCATAAAACTCGTAGTCCCCCGTCCCTTAAAAATCTGATTTTGATTTGATTTCCACTTCCAGCAGATAATTGTGAAAACATATTTCTAGTGTTAAACTCTGCACAGACATCATTCTGCACAGTGAATCTCAAACATCACACTGTAGGAACAATAAGAAAAACATATCTTTGCTGGATTTAAGTAGGAGTTTGAGTCCAGGACCTTAACTTGGAGTATGTTTTTTACATTGTGGTATTGGTACTTTTACTTAAATAAATGATGAGTAGTTCTTCCAACACTGGACATTTCCCAGTGTTTTAAGTCAAATCTGGTTTTAATTTATCCGTCTCTCCTCTTACTGGATATCTTTGCCTTATTATATAATAAAAAAAATTCAGCATTCTAAATTACATTTTCTTGCTCATTTCATCATCTCATGGTATTGATATATTTAGCATCAACTGTGTCTAGCCATGAGATCTATTCTGTCTGTGAGGCATCCATAGTACCCAACCTGTGCTGAGGGGTTTCAGGTAAGTCCACCTGTCATAATAGTCCCTCCCATACTATGTGTCTATCAGAACAAGTTTGCTGATCAGACACTGGCCTGCTTTCCCATTGGCCCCTGGACTTTAATAGGATCCCATGGACTCTGTTGGGGGATTACGGCTCCAAACTCTCGACTTTGGCCAGTCTCTGTGTCCTCCAACCATGGGTACAGCGGTTTAGGGGGGCGCCGCACATGAACAGACCCAGAGGGGCGCCATCAAAAGACCACATCACGTCAAGAGGAACAAAGAGTTGGTTTCAGCTTGAAAGGGAGATTGCGGCGGTGTGACCAATCAACTTGAGGGGAAAATCTATCATCTCTGGATAAGGAATATCACTTTTCTTCCATAATTTGTTTATTTGACCATTTTCCCACATTTTCCCGTGGTCTGCTGCACTGATTTGGATTATAAAACATCTTTTTGGGACAATTTCAACATCCAAGTGAAAGCTTTTGGATTATCCTGTGAGGTCGACAGTGTCCTTTACCATCTAAGGGATCTACCTGCTTATCCCCTTCACCTGGAACAACTTAGATGAGCTCAACCTGCTAATAACTCATCAAACAACAAGAGCAAGGCCTGCACTGACCACTGTGTTTCTGCAACATTGAAACCACCCTCTTCTGACCTCTGTAGGGTTTGTCTCTTTACATGCAGTTGACCTCATCTGGATTCATTGTCCATTTTGACTAGAATTTACTGAACTCCTTCCTCTTCTATCCTGCTCACTACCCGTCTCTTACTTTTCTCTCCCGTCCTTGGGTTGATCGGTGTATGTTAGTGAACCATGGTGCTGTTGAAGATGAAGTTCACCCAGCAGCGGCGGGTGCGTCTGGCCCAGGGCCTGTGGCTGATGTCCTGGCTGGCAGTGATGTGCGGGACCTTCGTCTTTTGTCTGGGGGTTTACCTTAAGGCAGAGATGATCCGTAGGGCCGAGGTAGAGAGGGAGGGGGAATATACTCACATACACACAAACACACACATATTAATGCAATGTTAGCTTAAAGATTAGAGGGCAAAGTCTAAAAACAATGACGTGAATTACACAAACATGGTTTTATATGCTCAGACTTTTGCCTTTGCTTGTGGTTGTTTACTGAGTTTGCTGTGCTGCTGCTTATCAATGACTTTTATTCAAACTTAGCTCTACAGCTTAAACCACAAATACAAACACGCAGCACACAAAATACTTGTGTAAACATAAACATGGTGACACTCACACATGTTAAGTCATAAGGATACAGTGTGTTCAAAGTCATTGGGACGTATATATGTGTATTGAATTTAGGTAACGTGACCAGCAGGTGAAGGTCATGACCTCTACAAGACTGGTGTAATTGTTTAAGCCAACCAGTCATTGGGTTGGATTGATCACTGATTGATTAGGATAGTTTGGTTGCATTGATATCCAGTGGGCTGCACAGGAAAGCTGCAGGCCATGAACACATGCCTGCAGATATTTATTGATATCCACTGAGAGAATCAGATTCCACAACCTTAGTAGTTGCAAAGTGTTATTGAGTGTCAGGAAGGATCTTACAGAATGATTCACAAGAGATGAATCCTCTTTTATACCTGTTAGACAAATGTAACATTTTTGCTTTACTTACTTAACTTCTACAGATAATTGTCAAAACTGATTACTCCACCTGGAGCGGAAATAATTTCTTTTCAATGAGCATCCTGTGGCAAAGATTATTTGTCCCAAACCACAGTTGGGAGGATAGATAGGTGGCAGATTAGGGGTGAGTTTCTCAATGATAATTACAAAACAACAAAGGAGCAAAGGTTCTTTATGGCTGACTAAGCCAATAATAAACCCAATCCTGAATTGACTTTTGCTGTAACCAGGGCAATGAATTAAATTTGTCATCAAATTGCCATAGCCTTTTGCGTCCAGTACATCAGCAGTTAATTGAATCACTTGGCAGCCAAGGTCATTTTTATAATAGATAAGGCTAATTGAATGCAGGATTATTACCTGCTAAAGTGGGTAGAGGAAATGACAGAGTGACCTGCAGTTGGCTGCTGCTCTTGTAGCTGCTCATCTTTGACTCTGCTCTTCTTTTCTTGAGGTGATGGAAAACACAGAGATCCACGTGGTGCCCAACATCCTGATGATGGTGGGCCTGGCCTCCATCGGCACTAACTGGGTTGCCACGCGTGTGTGTCAGGACTCCTTGGACGCAAGCCGCTTCCCCCGTTGGAAAGTTCTCCTGCTGGCTTGGTTTGCTGTGGCTGCACTGCTCTGTGTTCTGCTGGTCGCCGTTGTGGTGCTCAGCTACGCCCTGCAAGGACGCCTGGAGGAGTCACTGAAGGTGGGGTCACTTGGCTGGGTAATCATCAGAGGGTGACATGCCAAAGGGGTAGAGTACGTGTCAAAGTTATGGTAAAAAGAGCTGTGTCATAACAGGATGGGGTTTCCAGATCATCAACCAAAACACAAGATGAAACCTGCTCTCCCTCTGAGTTACTGTGCCTGAAGGAAACAGTGAACTCTCTGAAATGAAAGAGTTTGGGCTAGAGAGAAGAGTTATGCTATATTCCTGCAAATGAGCAATAGGTGCAAATAAGAATAGAACGTTTACATTTATCAGTATTTAAGAAACAGAACAAAAAACAGTTAACAACAACAATGTAGTATAATATTTGAGCTCACTCTTGTTTAAATGTTGCATTGAAACCAGAAAAATCCCTCAAAATGGAGAGTTTTCAAATCAGTTTTGCGAATAAGACATCATTTAATTAAAATATGTTTCAAATTAGACTGAAAACTGCTGCATTTTTGACAAAAAACATTCTCATCTATCAGATAAAACATCCCCCCTCCCCTTCTTTCTCTTTCACTCTCTCTCCACTGTCAGGTGGGCCTGAGGAATGGTATTCGGTTCTACAAGGACACAGACGTGCCAGGCCGCTGTTTTCAGAAAGAGACCATTGATCGTCTGCAGATGGAGTTTCGCTGTTGTGGGAACAACAACTTCAAGGATTGGTTTGAAGTTCAGTGGGTCAGCAACAGATACCTGGATTTCACCTCCAAAGATGTCAAGGAGTGAGTGAATCAAGATACAGGGATGATCAGATTATGAGATGCTGGGAGTTGAGATGACGAGCTATAAAGAGAGGAAACTAGACAGATGGAGTCAGCACAGGAAAGAGAAGAGAAGGAAATAGAGGTCTAGATGAATGACAGATAAGTAGACTTCACATTCGAAAAGGTCAAACAATATGTTATAGAGGAAGGATGGAGGGACGCCAGGAGAAAAAGAATGATGTGAAGGTAGAGGAAGACTGTATTAAAAATAGATCTGGCCTTTACTTTAGAAGAGAGTGACATAAATAGATGGAAAGGTTAAAGCAGAGAAAGGTTGGTCAAAGATGAAATAAGTGAAAAAGGAATGAATAAACAGAAAGGTTATGGCATGATGACACTTGTATAGAGGCACTGCTCATTTTTTTAATAATGTTAAGTGTGTATTGAGCTCTAAAAAATAACACTTTCTGTGCTTTCCTCCAATAAAATGAATGCACCCTCTACCTTCTCTTCCTTCGTCATTTCTGATCTGTTTCCATCATCTGTTTTCTCACCAACCTTCCCTCCTCTCTCTCCAGTCGTATCCGGAGTAACGTGGATGGACGTTTCCTGTTGGATGGCGTTCCTTTCAGCTGCTGTAACCCTGCGTCCCCTCGCCCATGCCTGCAGTACCACCTGACAGATAACACTGCCCACTTCAGCTATGATTACCAAGCAGAGGAACTCAACCTGTACAACCGTGGCTGTAGGCAGGCTCTGATTGACTACTACATGGACTTGATGAATTCAACTGGTCCTGGTGTGCTGTCAGTCATCTTAATACAGGTGGGATGCACGATAAACACTTCAGTTATTCTGTAATTGGGTTAAAATTCAGGAAAAACACGATGATCAGTATTCATCCAAGGCGCAGAGAGTTCATTTTTGTGATTTTGTTTTTAACTGGATATCCTGACACACTCACACACCCACACAAATACAAAAATACCCATTATTTTAAAGAATATTTGTGTCACACAGACTGCCATGACAACTGACAGAAACAAAACCTCACTGACACACAGTGATTTCTGTCTGTTAATCAATGCACATGGCCTTTCACTACTTTGCCAAATAACAGTATTGATGGGTCATTCTATAACAAATAACAAACAAGACCTCAGGCTCATACACATGTTTAACAGTGCACCATTACACACCGCCTACAGCTGATCAAACAATCTATACTTTAAATGCAGCAGCTCAGTATGGTGTTTTTCTAGTCCATCATGAAGAGGCTAGATGGCTGCCATGTGAAGAGTTAAGGCCCCAAGTTGAGCTGTAGATCATGTCTGGCTTTCAAGCCAAAGCCCAAACCTGCTTTGAACTATGTAGCCCAAGAACAAATAAAAGAGAACCCAACTAATTTATTTTTGCTTTATTTGGACCTCAGCAATGTTTGCTTGTCATTGTTTGGATGTCAGTGCAGACTCCCCCCCCCCTCCAAGAAAGTGTGAATGCTTTTAATATGAACTCAAATTGACTTTCTATCTCATCTTCATGCACGCAATAAATCATAATTATCGATATAATCATGTTGATTGTTCCATGGTCAGAATGAATCAGCATCTCTACTGAAGTAGAATCACAATTAGAAAATATCTTTATAGTTGTTGAAGTTTCTCACACAGGAAACGCTGAATAGCAACATACACATAGTGTTACAAGACAAACAGAGTGTGTGCAAATATGTGCATGCTTCATAGCTTAGTTATCAGGTTATCAGGTTATTGAGTTCCTTTTTATGCTAACTGTGATAATAAATCTGTGACATAACATGATGAACTGACAAAACGGTTGCTTCTCTTCAGATGGATCCATTTTTGTGAGCCCATCAAGCCTTTTGGTGACAAATACTGCATGATGATTTTGGATGCAGTTTTTACAGCATCTTTATTGTGTCTTTCTGCCCAGATGTCAGTGATTCTGAGCCTGCGGTACCTGCAGACCGCCATGGAAGGAGCCATGGCTCTGGAGGACCCGGAGGGCGACAGTGAGGGTTTTCTCCTGGAGAAGGGTGTGAAGGACACCTTTGAAGACGTCAAAGCCAAAGTCCTCACCATGCTTCAGTTCGGGCAGGTTGACCCCAACGCCGAAGAGTCTGCAGACGCAGAGAAGGCTGCTTCCCCAACTCCTGCCAGCTAGACGGGAAAAATATTCAAATATGAGCTGAGGAGGAAGGGATGCATAGGTGGGATGTGTCTGTGGTTTTTTTTTTTGGTTGTGTGAGTTGGCTGGTGGCGGGTAGAATACCTGTTGGGATTTTGACATGTTAGGCTTGATTTACACTCCACCAATGCAGCAGCCACATGGCCAAACCGAGGCAACACATAGGGATTCTTGTCAGGTCCTGCACAGACACCAAAATAAACATCTCCTCAGTGCAGGACCTAACGAACATGTAATCATCAGAGAACCTGTTCAGGAGATGTGTAGTACTTTTTGTTGCAACTAGAAGAGAGTACATTCAGTTTAAATGGGTGTAGCGTTCAGACACATGTTTAAAACATTTTGTCATTTGGGTCAAATTTGGTACAGTCACATAATGCTCAATGTTCATCCCATTTGCATTTGTATTATTCATCTCTCAGCTGTAGAGTTTGTACTAAACTGAAATGAAATGCTTTTGAAACTGTTAAAAATGGCAATGCACATGAAATATATATTAAAGGTAGAAGTTTTTAACTGCTAAGTAGAGTTGGCTTCCTTTTGTAGCCTACATGTTACATAGAGGAGCGAATTCCCTGAGTGTCGGTTATCTGAGTTCAGCAAGGAGAGTTGGATTAAGTGTGTGTGTTTGTGTGTATATGTGCGTGTGAGTGTGGTGCCCTATATGAAGCTGTCATCTTGTCTATTCTGGCAGCTCTGAAACAATCTGATAATCCTGGAATAGTTAATCCCAGAACTGCTGCACAAGCAGTATCAGCAAACACTGACAGCACACAGGGACACGCTCAACAGCACACTCATACAACACGTTGGAGGTTATTTTATAAAGCAAAACAGTTTTTAAATGCTTTTTATTTGCAAGGAATAAAAAATGGTGATCTGTCATAGCTACAGGTATAGCCATTGTGTGCTCATTCTTCTTAAATAAAACTCTATCACAGAATGAGGTCAATGAATGTTTTATTCTATTTATAACAAGCAAGTATACATGCTTTTAGTGGTTGCAGAAAGACATAAATAAATTTGTTTTTCATGTCCCAGAAGGGATTTCTTTTTGCAGTTCCACAGAAGATAAAAAAAACCCTACATACTACATAACAAAAGGAAAAAAGCAACAACCAGCTTCCATGTAACAATTTGCACATCAGTATTTTAAGACATGCTCTTTAATTATAAAACACAATATGCAGAAGATGATGAAGTTAACTTTTGGTTTTAGGCTTAGTCACATCCTCCCAACATAATACCTATAATAATTAATTCATATTACAGTAAAAGAAGGAGATATAGTAAATTAAAACAAAGTGAATATACAAGTCACAAATAAAAATAAATCAACTCCCAGAATTGCTTCATAATCAGTTCTTATACATTTTAAATTACAAGTAATTAAGTGAAAGAGGATCTATTGTGTTCACAAATACATACAACTATAAACTTACTACATTCATAATAAAATACAATTATAAACCCATGTCCCAACTAGAATGAGTCTGTATAAAATGATAAAGACTTTACTGCCATGAACTAGTGTTTACTTTACAGGAAGTGCAGCACCAAAATAAAAGTAGGGCTGCCTGGTTACACTTCCCCCAGTGATTTTGTTATGGAAATAATGATGTAATGCATAATTTCTAAATAGGCAAATAGGAACTTTAATCTGAATCCACCAGAGTGCGCTGTTGCACAGTGTTTGAATATGTTTTAATGAGCAACATGGAGCGAGACTGACAACCCTACAGCTGACAACTTTAATAATGGCAATAATAATAAAGGTATTGAGGGCGCTGAGTGGGTTTCTTATGCAAATAACCGAAAATGTAATTAACATATGCTGTGCAAACAACATGTTTTGAATAATGTTGTAAAGGAAAAGGCATTTCCATGCAGCTATTCGTATATATAAATGACAGTAAAAAAAAAACTGTTGTCATAGGAACATCTAAGTCCATTTATCTCTGAACATAAAACCCAGTTTATGTTTGTTTTTACTCCTGTAGATTGTGTAGATATCTCTCTCTCTCTCTCTCTCTCTCTCGTTAGCCGACGTGTGGAGGGCGTGTGACAGTGTCGGCTCAACAGAAGAAAAAAAAACTCTACATGTGCGTTTTGAAAATTCCGGTGTGGTTTTGCAATGAAACTAACTGACACAGTCAGAGAGAGGAAGAGACAGAGAGGTGGAGGGAGGGGAAGGGCCGCAGAAATGTCAAACTACTTCACTTGACACAAGATGGATTCTCTCTCTTTGATTCATTACATCCATAGCGTTGATAATACTTTTTAATTAGCGGTCTTGTGTGTAGTGTTTCACAGCTCTCTTAGCACAACAATGGACTCTAACATTATGGAGATAATAGAGGAATTCATGGAAAGTGCGTTGGTGCAATGGGTACGTCATTTATCATTTATCACTCTCAGTTAGAGAAAAGGTCATCGTTTCTAGAGAAAGAGAGGGGAGAATAAAACTGATTGTGTAGAGTAGTGTGTAAGTTTAGAGATTCACTTCTGACAGAGACCAGTTCCGCTGTAAACCTACATTATTTCCAGTCACAAGTACTTAAGACATGGTACCTTTTTACAGAAGTCTACTTTCCAGCTCTGTTTACTCAAATAAATATAAAAGAAGGAGCAAAAAAACAGTAAGAAAAACAGCCTAGATAGGCCCACCACTTTTTGCTATTGTGTGTAGCAAAACAAACACTTCTCCTTTTGGCAGCTTCCCTTGCCTCTTAATGACCAGCTTTTTTTCTCTCTCCTAGCCTTGAAACTTCCGTGTCCTTGGGCTGTCTCTGAAAATAATAGCTACAAACCTATGTACTATATATTCAAGAGAATATAGTCACTAAAATCTGTTGAGGATCTGGTGTGTTTGTAACAGACTGAATTTCCAGCTGGGGTTTCCACATGAGGAACCAATCAGCCCAAGGGGATGTTTTTTTTTCTCTTCTTCTGGTCAATGAACAGTATTTATGATATAACGTCATACAGCGCTGAACCTTGGAGGGGTAATCTCTTTATTGTTGCCCTCCACCAAAGGTGGGGTCAGAGGTCAAGTTCAACAGTATGCCTGCAGCTGGCAGACTTTTAGTATTTGCTCAAGGGTGCTTCACTGTCACGAGAGCTGTCACCCTGCTTCACATATGCTGAAGGACATCCACTGTAACCGCTCTCTGTCGCTGTCGCACAGGGTCTCGAGCTGCTCTGCCTCACCTCATCAGCTGAACCAACTCGAGCTTGTTACTCTGTTTACCGACTGCAGTTTTTTAGAAGGTGCAGGTGGGAATAAGCCTCATTATATTGCAGTTTGCATTGGCACAGCTCCTCTTAGCAGTGAGAGAGACCTTGGCCGCAGTCCTGCTTGGCTGCCTGTCACTGTGAAGTGCTTCCCAGTGTGAGAGCACAGATCCCACCTGTCCAGACAGGTGCACCGACTCAAGTGGCTTCCTGTGTGAAAATGTTTGCACCTCTCCATCTCCCTCCTTGTCTCTTTCTCTCTTTCTCTCTCTCTCTCTCTCTCTCTCTGTACCTACTTTCTGCTCCAGGCTCCGTCGTCCTCGTCTTAGTCTACCTCCTGGTACCTGCACACACTACATTATCCCTCCCTCTCTCTTTCAGGTTCAGCTGTTTGAGAAGATGGTGGAGAATGAGGACGGCGTCCCGCTCTACAGCCAATACATGGAAGTGAACTCAATGTCCCAGAGTGCCCGGGATCGCTACATGAGGCTGACCAATGGGATTTTCCTCAATGAGGTCATGAGGGTCATGTAAGATTGATTAAGATTTTCTTGCTTCATTGCTTTGCTGCAGTAGAAGTGACCACTAGACAAGAGAAGATAAGAAGTAATGTGAACATGTGAAGCATTTTGCAGGCAATCTGACTGATAAATAAAGAAATAAAACCCTTTAGTACTCATTTTCAGCCATTTATGGAAAAATGTAATGTAGAAAAACTTGTTTAGCGTCACAGTTAGTTGCAAAAATTGGCCTTGGCTTTTATTAATAAGTTAAATGTGGAAATGGACCCACGCCTATTTTTGGATGAAGAAGCCTTAAAAACCTTTGAAATAGGTAAATATGACGGCTCTCAAAGGATGTCAGCCTGACGCTCGGCCCGCCCACTTTCTGGTCCGACTGAAATATCTCCACAACTATTTGATGGATTGCCATAAAGTTTTATACAGACATTCACGGTTCAGTTCAGGCCATACAACAATGATAGCAATCATACAGACTTAGTAACAGACACTTAAAGAATAATAATATACAGTGTATATTGTTAGAGGTGATCCCCTGACATGTAATCCCTTTTTATTTGTCCAATTATTTATTTTATGACCAAATCCACATCCACTTTATTGCTAAATAGCAAATGTAAGGTATGCTTGCATGCTTAACTAACATTTATAACACTATACCTTATTAAGATCAGTTAGCATTATCATTGTGAGCATACTAGCATTAGCATTTAGCTAAAGTACAGCCTCACAGAGTTGCTAGCATGGCTGTAGTCCTTTAGATTTGTACATAAAATTTGATGTAACGCAGTGCCCCGTGAGTTCACCTGGTAGAGCGCGTGCCCCATATATCAAGTCCTGTGAGTCCTTGCCACAGCGACCTGGGTTTGATTCCTTTGCTGCATGTCATCCCCTCTCTGTCTCTTTCCTGTCCATCTCTGACGCTGTCACTGTCTAATAAAGCACACAATGCCATAAAATATCTTTCTTTATGTAACATTCATCACATTCCCTTTTGTAACCTCACATTGTTCAGCAGCCTGTGTAAAGGAATGGCATAAATGTATGACCCATTCATATTTGCCACAAATTTCCAGTAAATCATGAAATGGGTTTCTGCATATGTGCCAGCCTGTAAGTCATCTTTAATTAATTCATTACCTTCATGTTCAAATTTCAGCAAGATAAAACCTTTTCTCTCTCAACTGGTAAGACAAGATCTTTGTCAGTGTTTTTGGGAAC